GCTCCCCAGCCTGACCCTCGGGGCTCGGCCAGCCTGACCCTCGGGGCTCCCCAGCCTGACCCTCGGGGCTCCCCAGCCTGACCCTTGGGGCTCGGCCAGCCTGACCCTCGGGGCGCCCCAGCCTGACCCTTGGGGCTCCCCAGCCTGACCCTCAGGGCTCCCCAGCCTGACCCTCGGGGCGCCCCAGCCTGACCCTCGGGGCTCGGCCAGCCTCCACTCATGCCCTCAATGTGCGTCCCATCTCCTCTCTTGTGTCCCCATGGGTCTCCAGAGCCAGAATCAGGTCCCTGGCCCTGGAGCACACCTGTCTCCTCACAGAGCCCGGGCCCGGGTGCGGAGTGGCGCGGTAGGGACCTTTCCTGCCCAGCCCCACTCCAATTGGCCCATGTCCCTCCTGGCCCCCAGCACGGGTTCTCCCCACAGCCACAGCTATGCCACCCCTGCCTGTGATCGCGGCCAGACCCCTGAGCCCTCCTCCTTCCCTCCTCATCCAACGGGCACACCTGAGGCCCCTGTGCCAGCCACTAAGCCAGACGAGAGAGAGAGAGAGACAGAGAGACACAGAGAGACACACACAGAGAGAAACAGAGACAGAGACAGAGAGACACAGAGAGACAGAGAGAGAGAGAGACAGAGAGAGACAGAGAGAGAGAGGACTAGACAGAAGGTCTGGTAGGCTCTGCCGCTATGGTTGGGTAGATATCAGAGGGCTCAGATAGACCCAGTGGTCCAGGGAGGCGAGCAGGGTGGAGTCCCAGCCAGCGTCAGGAGCTCCGGGAGGCTTGTGCACAGCGCGGCACATGAAGGCCCAGGGCCCCGCATCATCCACCTTCACCACCCACACGAAGCAGCCACAGCCAGGCTTGGACTCCCCCACACCCCACCACCACAGAGAAACCACCAGAAGAAAGGGGAACTTCAAGAAGTGTCCCATTCCACCCAGTTTCGGTCCAGTTCTTAGTCTCAGGAGTGGGGGTGGGGTGACAACACACCCCAGAGACAAGGGCGGTGACTCCCAGGAGGCCAAGACAGCTGAGCGGGGCAACCAGGGCAGGGCAGCCAGCGCTGGGAAGCACCACTATGCAGTACGTGGCCAGAAGGAGGCAGGGCCGCGGGGGCGTCCCAGGGGCTGGCCGCTGAGGACCCTTCCTCGTCTAGCATCTCACAATCTGCAGAACCCAGAGAGGTGAGCCTCCAACAGGGCTGAGCCGCCACAGCCCCTGCCAAACCCGGGGTGGCATGGGGGAGGCCCGGCCACCAGAGCAGACTCTGAGCCCAGCCATGGGCAGGAGGAAGTCTGAGGACAGATAGCCGGACCTGCGGCCGTGAGCACGGGAGGTCTGCCACAGAGGCAGCAAGGGACCAGTGGAAACTTGCAGAGATGGAAAGAGTTGGGAAGAGGAGGAGTGAGGCCCACGTACCCAGAAGCTCCGCCGGGGGACAGGGCCTGCGGCCCGGCTGGGGACCGCAGGCTGAGGACGGGGCATCTGGGGGCAGGAAAGAAGCCAGCTCCAGGCTGAGCAAAGGCGGGATGAGCAGGGGACTGGGCAGGAAGTCTGAGGCTCTGGGCAAGCAGAGTCGGGTGGGCCTGGACAGGTGGGCATGCTGGGACCAGGCAGCACCAGCTCAGAAAACAGAGGAAGAAGAGCACTGGGAGCTTAGGGGACCGCAGGCCAGGGCTGCAAACGGGGCCCAGGATACCCCAAGGCCAGCAGTCTCCACTAAGCTGGGCTGATTTGGAGAGCTCAGCAGCTCAGGACTGAGCGGCCACAGCTGAACCAAGCAGACAGGAATGGGGGAAGCATGGGGGCACCCAGGAGCTCAGGGCCAAGAGCAGGCACCGTGGGAGCCTAAAGATGATGGTTAGGTGGTCAGGCGTGTAACAAGGGCTGCAGCAGCCACATGTAAGCAGCAGCCTTTGAGAGTACCCCCAAATAGCTCCAAGAACCAGAGCAGGGCAGCTTCAGGTCAGTGGAGGCAGAAAGAATACCAGAGGCGTAGCAGAGCAGCATCAGGGGCTCAGAGAACCACATCTGAGCAGGACAGGTGAGGGGGGCTGTGAGAGACTGGGGCACCCAGGAGAGCCCCAGGAGCCCAGGGAGCAGGCACCGAGCAGCTGCAGGGGAGCTGGAGAATACTGGGGGCCTGGAGGGACAGGGCAGCCCCAGGAGCTCAGGGGAGCAGTTACAGACCAGGTACAGGGGAGCTGGAGAATACTGGGGGGCTGGAGGGACAGGCCAGTACCAGGAGCTCAGGGGAGCAGTTACAGACCAGGTACAGGGGAGCTGGAGAATACTGGGGGCCTGGAGGGGCAGGCCAGTACCAGGAGCTCAGGGGAGCAGTTACAGATCAGCTACAGGGGAGCTGGAGAATGTTGGGGGGCTGGAGGGACAGGGCAGCCCCAGGAGCTCAGGGGAGCAGTTATAGACCAGGTACAGGGGAGCTGGAGAATATTGGGGGGCTGGAGGAACAGAGCAGCTCCAGGAGCTCAGGAGAGCAGGCACAGATTAGCTACAGGGGAGCTGGAGAATGTTGGGGGGCTAAAGGGATACAGTAGCCCCAGGAGCTCAGGGGAGCAGTTACAGATCAGCTACAGGGGAGCTGGAGAATGTTGGGGGGCGGGCAGGATACAGTAGCCCCAGGAGCTCAGGGGAGCAGTTACAGAGCAGACAGAGGGGAGCTTGCGAATGTTGGGGGGCTGGAGGGGCAGGGCAGCCCCAGGAGCTCAGGGGAGCAGGCACAGAGCAGCTACAGGGGAACAGCAGAATATTGGGGGGCTGGAGGGATACAGTAGCCCCAGGAGCTCAGGGGAGCAGTTACAGAGCAGGTACAGGGGAGCTAGAGACTTTTGGGGGGCTGGAGGGATAAGGCAACCCCAGGAGCTCAGGGGAGCAGGCACAGAGCAGTTCTAGGGAAGCTGGGAAATATTGGGGGGCTGGAGGGACAGGGCACCTTCAGGAGCTCAGGGGAGCAGTTACAGACCAGATACAGGGGAGCTGGAGAATGTTAGGGGGCAGAGGGACAGGGCAGCTTCAGGAGCTAAGGGGAGCAGGCACAGAATAATTTTAGGGGAGCTGGAGAAAGTTGGGGTGCTGGAGGGGCAGGGCAGCCCCAGGAACTCAGGGGAACAGATACAGACAGGTACAGGGGAGCTGGAGAATGTTGGGGGGCTGGAGGTATAAGGCAACCCAAGGAGCTCAGGGGAACAGGCACAGAGCAGCTACAGGGCAGTTGGAGAATGTTGGGGGGCTGGAAGAACAGAGCAGCCCCAGGAGTTCAGGGGAGCAGGCACAAATTAGCTACAGGTGAGCTAGAGATGTTGGGGGCCTGGAGGGATACAGTAGCCCCAGGAGCTCAGGGGAGCAGTTACAGACCAGGTACAGGAGAGCTGGAGAATGTTGGGGGGCTGGAGGGACACAGTAGCGCAGGAGCTCAGGGGAGCAGTTACAGACCAGGTACAGGGGAGCTGGAGAATGTTGGGGGGCTGGAGGGACACAGTAGCGCAGGAGCTCAGGGGAGCAGTTACAGACCAGGTACAGGGGAGCTGGAGAATGTTGGGGGGCTGGAGGGACACAGTAGCGCAGGAGCTCAGGGGAGCAGTTACTGACCAGGTACAGGGGAGCTGGAGAATGTTGGGGGGCTGGAGGGACACAGTAGCACAGGAGCTCAGGGGAGCAGTTACAGACCAGGTACAGGGGAGCTGGAGAATGTTGGGGGGCTGGAGGGACTGGGCAGCCCCAGGAGTTCAGGAGAGCAGGCACAGAGCAGATACAGGAGAGCTGGGGAATATTGGGGGGCTGGAGGGACAGGGCATCTTCAGGAGCTCGGGGGAGCAGGCACAGAGCAGCTTTTGGGCAGCTGGAGAATGTTGGGGGGCTGGAGGGACAGGGCATCTTCAGGAGCTCGGGGGAGCAGGCGCAGAGCAGCTTTTGGGCAGCTGGAGAATGTTGGGGGGCTGGAGGGACAGGGCATCTTCAGGAGCTCGGGGGAGCAGGCACAGAGCAGCTTTTGGGCAGCTGGAGAATGTTGGGGGGCTGGAGGGACAGGGCATCTTCAGGAGCTCGGGGGAGCAGGCTCAGAGCAGGGGCACGGCAGCTGGATCAAGTGAGAGGCATGGGAGTCAGGGACTGGCTCAGGACAGCGTCCAGGCCAACCTCAAGGCGTCTGGGCTCTGGTAAGAGTGCAACAGATGTGGGAAGCATGGGCCGCTGAGGGCTGGGGACGGGGGGGAGAGGCCCAGCTACGGAAGGCCCAGAAGCTCAGGGACCACTCCCATCCAGGCCCAGCCCAGCTCACTGTCCCTGCTCTGCCCCGAGCTCCCGGAGCTCTGAGCCCAAGCTGCCCTGCAGCTGACACAGGCCTGGGCCTAGGAGGACAGAGGTCCCAGGTTGAGGAGTGCAGGCTGGGTGAGGTTGGCAGGTGGGGCAGGGCTCAGCGCTCTGGCTGAGTTCCCAGGCAGGGCCAGTGCTGGGGGCCAGGATGGGCCGTGGGGATAGGGGGTGTGCATGAGAAGGGCCCTGGGGCTAAACACCCGCAGGAGGCACAGGGCTGCCAGGGGCTGGGGAATGGCAGCTCCCACCCTGTGGATCTGAGCAGACTGCCCTGAGGAAAACCTGCCTGGCAGCACGGCAGGCCTGGGCTGTGAACAACACAGAGGAAGACAAGGCCATGTTCAGGCTTGAGTAGGGGCGGCTCACAGGCCCGCAGAGATGAGCAGGAAACTGTTGCCAGGTCAGAGGGGACAGAGGGGGGATGCGGACACCCCACCTGGAGGACAGAAGAAACACCAACGGGATCCGGACATGCTGATCCACCAGGGGAGGGAGGGCAGAGGGAGGGTGAAAGCCCGCAGACCCCACCCACCACACCGCGCCTGCACCTGCAGGAAGCACCTAGAAGCCAGGACAGGTCAGGGCCTCCGCTGGGAACAGGAGGGGACAGGAAGGGAGGGGCCGTGACTGACCCTCAGGACGCAACCCAGGAAGACGGGAGCAGGGGCCATGTCCAAGGATGGGCCATCTCACAAGCCTAAGATCCCAGACAGCAGGGGTAGGGTCCCACGGATGAGTAGGAGGTGGCAGGGATCACTTCAGGGAATGTTCCAGAGCCCAGAGCCCAGACCAGGGGGCGGGGGGGAGGGGGGGAGTGGAGAGGAGAAGGGGGCTGGCTCGGCTCGGCTGGGCTGCCTAGCCTCACAGCAAGTTCTACAAGACAAAGCCCTCAAAGGCAAATGCGAGGGCCAGGGTTCTAGGGCTGGAGCTGGGCCAGCAGCACAGAAGGGTTGAGCCCAGGCCTGTGTCCCAGCCCTGTTACCCTCACCCACAGCACAGCCAGGACCCAGGACCATGACCCACAGCAGAGTCAGGACCCCGGGCCACGACCCACAGCAAAGCCAGGACCCCGGGCCACGACCCACAGCAGAGTCAGGACCCCGGGCCACGACACACAGCACAGCCAGATTGGGCAAGAGGTCATGAAGGGCAGAGGGCGTGGGGACATAGCACAGCACAAACAGGACAGGGACATGGGGTCTGGGCTCTGAGGTGCAGGGACGCGGGGTCTGGGCCCTCACAGGACTGGACAGGAGGTCTGGGCCCTCACGGGGCTGGGACACGGGCCTGGGGCAGCCATGTCCCCCACCACACTCTCTTGGTACTTCCTCTCTTGCAGCCAGCACCACAGCCCCATCCGTCTTCCCCTTGGCTCCCAGCTGTGGAGTCAGTTCTGGCTCCACGGCGTCCCTGGGCTGCCTGGTCAGCGGCTTCTTCCCCGAGCTGGTCACCGTGTCATGGAAGTCCGGAGCGGCCGAGTTGACCAGCGGCGTGCGCACCTTCCCATCTGTTCTGAAGTCAGGGCTCTACTCACTCAACAGCATGGTGACGGTGTCCTCCAGCACCTGGCCCAGCCAGACCGTCACCTGCCATGTAGTCCACCCGGCCAGCAACACCAAGGTGGACAAGATCATTGGTAAGGAGACAGCCTGAGGGAGGGTCCCCGGGAGCCAGGCTTGCACAGCGCCAGCCAGGGAGGGGACCCCAGAGGTGATGGGAGGCATCTGCACCCATCGCTCAGGCAGGAAGAGGTGTTCTCAGTGCATGCCCTCCGGACCCCCTGGACAGACAGGGTGGACACGGGTCTCCTGGTGCCCAGGACCACAGCAGGCCCAGTCAGCATGGGACCCGAGCCTTCCCCAGGGCCATCTCCCAGCTCTGTGTGGCTCCTCCTCCCTCAGCCCCAGTAACCAAAACCTTGTTTCTGCAGAGCCTACAAGAGAAAACTCTCCGCCGCAAAGTCCCAAGGGCCCAGGTAAGTCCAGGAGGGAAGGAAGGCCCATTGAAGCTGACCTAAAGAGGTTGGCCCTGGCAGATCACTAACTTATCGATCTCTCCATCAATAGACGATTGTTTAGGAGGACCATCTGTCTTCATATTTCCCCCAAAGCCCCAGGACACCCTCACGATTTCTCTGACCCCCAAGGTCACATGTGTGGTAGTAGACCTGAGCCAGGATAACCCTAACGCTGAGATCACCTGGTTTATGGACAATGTGGAGGTACACGAGGCCCAGACCCAGCGCCCAGAACAGCAGTACAACAGCACACTCCGAGTGGTCAGCGTCCTGCCCATCCGGCACCAGGACTGGCTGTCGGGAAAGGAGTTCAAGTGCAAAGTCAAGAACAAGGACCTCCCAGCCCCCATCGAGAAAACCATCTCCAAAGTCAAAGGTGGGAGCAATGTGCTGAGAGGGCCGGTTGGCCACGCCCACAGGGCGGAGCCTGGCGTGGACAGCCCTTGGCCCCGGCAGTGACCTCTGCTGACCTCTGTCCCCACAGGGCAAGCCCGAGAGCCACAAGTGTATGTCTTGCCACCACCGAGAGAGGAGATGACCAACCCAAAGCTCAGCCTGACCTGCTTGGCACAAGGGTTCTACCCTGAGGATATCTTTGTGGAATGGAGCAGCAATGGCCAGCCAGAGGAGAACTACAAGAGCACCTCGCTCGTCTTGGACTCCGATGGGTCCTACTTCCTCTACAGCAAGCTGCCAGTAGACAAGAGCAGGTGGGAGAGAGGAGACAGCTTCACCTGCTCCGTGATGCACGAGGCCCTGCACAACCACTTCACGCAGAAGACCATCTCCCGGTCTCCGGGTAAATGAGAGCTGGGCCTCAGCAGCCGGCGCCTCCCTCTGGGCCTCGGTCCACAGGAGGCTGGCACCTGCCACCCCTCCCCATGTAAATAAAGCACCCAGTGAAGCCTGGGACCTGCGAGGATGTCCTGGTCTTTTCTGAGGCTCAGAGCCCATCTCCTGCCTGAGCCTTGTACAGTGGGGACAGGCCGGGCTCCAAGGGCTCGGCTGCCATCACCCGGGGAGGGATTCGGCCAGATGGCGCCCAGTGGGGAAGCCAGCTAGGGACTTGGCCCAGGCCCCACAGCCCCTCCCTCAGGCATCCCTCCCGGCCCACGGCCTCGGGACACACAGCCTTACACACACCCTCGGAGCCCAGCCCAAGAGGGCAGGCACACGGAACAAGACCAGCCTCCACCACTCTGCCCTCTTCCCTCCCTCTGCCCACCCGTCTCCCAGTGCCCACCACACACCAGCCTGCCTCTGCCTGGAGAGGCACTGTCCCCCACACCCAGACACACCGTTGGCCCCCACCTCACCCACAGGAGACAGGGCAGCCACAGGCCCTGGAGCAGCTCTGCCGTGCACTCAGGAACAGAGCAGGCGCCACTGTGCCTCGGGACACACGGTCCACACGCCCGGAGGACACAGCCACGACCCTCACCACACCTGCTCAGCACCGCAGACCACGGGCCCTGCTCACACACGCACATGCTGCACACCCGTGCACACACACTCCACCACACTGGGCCTCACACGGCAACCTGAACAGCACACACCCAGCAGGGGACACTCACTGAGCTCGGGCCCATCCCTGACCTCACATCACCCACAGGCGCCCAGCCCTCCCCTCCGGCCACCCGCACCCCTGCTGCCCACACAGCCCTGGACCTGAGCCCACCTCACACACAGGAGACGCGCCCCTAGTTTATGCGTCCTGCCCCCCAAGCCACGCGCTCTCCTCCCCTCAGCCCAGGCTCCACTGGGAATGGACCTGTGCGCTCTGGCGCTCTGGGCCTGGACACCAGGGCAGGGAGAAGGCCAGGGACAGACACTGCTGCAGGGTGTCCAGCCCTGACGCTTGTGACCACCAGCACTGAGCAGCTGACCCCTCGGGGAGGGACAGACTTTCCCAGCCACCTTCCAGGACCAGGAATCTGCCTGGGCCTGGACCTGAGCCCCAGTTGGTGGGACACTGGGCGCTTTTGCCGCCCCACATGGGAGCCGCTGGCCCGGCCCACTGCCCCTTCCTCCCTGGCCGCCCTGCGAGACACACCCTGCCACACAGGGCGTCCCTCAGCCCCGCTGGGCACACTGACCACCCCCTCCCTGTCCAGAGCTGGACCTGGACGAGACCTGTGCTGAGGCCCAGGACGGGGAGCTGGACGGACTCTGGACGACCATCACCATCTTCATCACCCTCTTCCTGCTCAGCGTGTGCTACAGCGCCACCGTCACACTCTTCAAGGTCGGCCACCGTGTCCCCACGCGGTCCCACTGTGTGTCCCCGGGCTGAACCACAGGGTCTCTGTGATGTCCAAGCTGTGCCTCTGCCTTTCCACGGAGTCCCATACCTTACCATCAGTGCGACACCATACCACACTGTCCCCTCTGTCCACACTGTCCTTCTGAAGGCCTGCACGCTGTCCATCTGTCCTCCACACTGTCCCATCTGTCCACACTGTCCATCTGTCCACACTGTCCATCTGTCCACACTGCCCCATGCTGTCCACACTGTCCCATCTGTCCACACTGTCCATCTGTCCACACTGTCCATCTGTCCACACTGTCCCATGCTGTCCACACTGTCCATCTGTCCACACTGTCCCATGCTGTCCACACTGTCCATCGGTCCACACTGCCCCATGCTGTCCACACTGCCAATCTGTCCACACTGTTCATCTGTCCACACTGTGCCATGCTGTCCACACTGTCCATCGGTGCACACTGTCCATCTGTCCACACTGTCCATCTGTCCTCCACACTGTCCCACGTTCTCTCACGCAGTCCCCGTTTTCCTTCATGGGCTGGAGGGTGGCGTCCGGGTGCTGTGCCTGGCTCACCGCTGCTGACCCACAGGTGAAGTGGATCTTCTCCTCGGTGGTGGAGCTCAAGCAGACAATCGCCCCTGACTACAGGAACATGATTATGCAGGGCTCCTAGGACCGCCTCCTGCATGGACCAGGGCTTCCCAGAGCCCTGTGGGATGCTGCCCATCGAGTCAAGCAGCCCCACAGCCCGGCCACACCTGTCCCTCGTCCTCCCTGCCCCCTGAACCTGCGGCCTCTTGAAGCTTCGCTCTGGAACGTTCTGCCCGTGGAGGAGCACATGAACAGCAGGCTCTACCACGGCCCCAGCACCATGGACAGGACAACCCTCCTCAGCACCCAGCAGGACCCCTGTGGTGGCAGCCGAGGCCCGTCCCTCCCTGGGTCACCTCTGTCCTCGGGGCTGCAGGGAGTCACCTATGGGGTGGACGTCCTAAGTGCAGATGACAAGCCTGGAGACAACGTCACCCGTGCCAGCCGGACATGGGAGTTTTCTGAGAGCAGGCCTCACGTCAGAGCCTTGCGTGGGATGTCCACCACCAGGACGGGAGGCACGCCTCCCGGGGCCCGGACCGGTTCAGAGGCGCTGCCTGGGTCAGGCTGCGGCCTGGGCCCCAACTGTGCCCCGCTAGGCTCCATCCTACCCTGACACCCGGCCCGTCTCGAGTCTGAAATGGGGCGTCCCGTCGGATGGGGCTCGGTGCGCTGCCCTCCTCTCGCCCCGCGGGCTTGCCATGGCCGTGAGGCAGCAGTCAGCTGACTCCGGCCACCCCGCCTCTGGGGACAGCCCACTGCCCCTCCCCCAGCTCCAGGCTCCACTCGTGACACACACAGGAAAGGGCCCCGGGCGCACGGCCGCTGTGGGGCTCGGGCCGGGCCCTTCCGCCAGGTGGAAGGGCCGAGGTCCGGTGAGGAGGACAGGCATCTGCCAGGTGGGGGCGGCTCCAGGACGGGGCCTGGGAGCAGGTGCTCCTCCCGCAGCCATCACGGCTCCATCCAAGGCAGCTCTTTGGGATGCGGCACACACACAGGTCACACGGGGTTTGGACCCAGGAGGCCTGTTTCTCCCTCCCTAAGCTTCATACCTTGGGACCCACTTTCTCCTCGGAATGCACTAGCCGGCCCCTCCAGCTCCTGCTGGAACAATGGTGATTTAGGGACAAGGTGCACTGGCCCCTGCTCCTAGGGGAAGGCTTCTTGTTTCTTGTCATGAACTGTGATGGTCACTGTAAAGGTTTCCTTTGTCCATCTGAGGATAGTCTCTCTCATCTAAAGATGGCTGAGACCCTCATGGGAAATGCTGTTCAATGTTAGGAAGTTTATTGTCTTCATCTGCTGGTCTGAGCCTACACGTGTGATGGACTGTCCTCAACTTTTTCTATGGTTGGGTTGCTGTGTTTGCACTTCTGGGAATCACACTGGGGGCCTATGGTGCTAGGCAGACATCATCCAACTAAGCTGGATTCCCAGACTTTTGGATGCTAAACCAGCCTTAGTGAAGGAGTTCAGTTCTACAAATAGTAGAGCTAGCAGGGTACTCGTAGCCTGGTAACGTATTTGGAAAGACAGACTGATTCTGAGAAGCTGGTTCCCACGGTTGCAGTGGCAACAAGGTCACCAAGCTGGCCAGCTTGACCCGCGGACGGCACACCACGCCCACAGAAGGAAAATGAGGCCCAAGGCCCAATTACCTTTGCATATTGTTTGATTCAACTTGTCAGTGTCTTCTGGACATGAAGCTTTACAGAGTCAACACTGGCAGCAGCTAATCTTTGAAAAGGAGTCTAGAAGTTCTCGTTCTCATCTGTGCACCCCTCCTTCCTTTCTGCCTGTGGCGATGGACAGGACTTGCACAGACCTAGAGTTCTCCTGGTGGCTTCCTCCACCTGCACCTGCAGGCCGCACCTGGCCCCCAGACACCGTTTGGCCCCGCCAGTCTCCACGTCTCCTTTGGTCACACAGATCATCCTGTTATTGGCCTTTTCTAGCACGCACACGTGAGAGAAAACCGAGTGCTGGTCTTTCTCAGTCTGGCTTATTTCTCCTAACGAGTCGCACTCCAGGGGCCGCCATTTTCAGCAGAAGACACAATGGCACCCACCGGTGATGGCCACGCCTCACGCCACTGCACGCACATGCCTGCCTCCTCGCCCGTCCTCAGCGGGCAGCTGGTCGGGGCTGCGTCTGACAGGCCCTGGCCGCCTTCTGCGGGTGTCCAGCCTCCCCGCTCACCCCGTGTGAGTGGGCGGCCAGTGGTGTCTGGGCCTGGGAGGACGGCCATCCTCCAGTGACGGTGGCTGCAATCCTGGGAGTGCTGCCACTAGAACACTCCTGGGCAGGCCTCTCCACACCGCCTGACGTGGATTTGGGGCGACACCGCCTGTCGTACTAGGGAGCTGTGAGAGGAATTCTAGCCTTCACTGTGGGGAAAGGTCATACTGATTTCTGCAAAAGCTGAGCTGGTGTCCATTGCCTCTGGCAGTGAATAAAGGTGCCATTTCCTCACCGCCTACCCATTGTCATTTATTTCTTCATGCCATTCTGTTGGCTAAGGCAGAACAGCGACACAGTTTTCCTTAAGCTTTTTCCTTCTAGCAAAGACGTGAAACATTTTCATCATGTATTTATTAGCCAGTTGTGGTCCATTTAGTTTTTGTTATGACTGTTTCATTTGTGTGGATGTTTAATTTTTATAGTTATTATACAGGTAATTACAGAATGGTTACAGTTACTTAAGTCAGATAAAGAGAACATTTCTTCTTTCTCCTTTCTTTTTTTTTTTTTTTTTTTTTTGCCTATTCCTGGGGCTTGAACTCAGGGTGTGGACGCTGTCCCTGAGATTCTTTTTGGTCAAGGCTAGTGCTCTACCACTTGAGCAACAGCACCACTGCAGGCATTCTCTGAATGGTTTATTGGAGATAAGAAGCTCATACATGTTGCTGCCAGGGCTGGCTTCAAACCTCAGTCCTCAGATTTCACCCTCCTGAGTAGCTAGGATTACAGATGAGAGCCACCAACACTGGCAAGAGCAAACTTCTTTACGGACGATGTCAGCCCCCTTGCTTTCTCCCAGGATTTTCCTCCCATGCCCCAACCACAAGTTATATCGTTTATTTTCAACGTAGTGTCCACTGAGTTGCAGCATTACACGTGTTCATGTCTTTGTCCCTCTATTTCTCTGCCTCGTTGACACTCCCAAAGACACACAAATTAACAAACAGAACAAAAAAAAAACAAAAACAGAAAAACAGAAACTATAAAACCCTCTGGTTTCCATTTCCTGGAGTTCATTTGGATAAATACTATTTTTTTGGGGGGGGTCCGGTCCTGGGGCCTGAACTCTGGGCCTGGGCGCTGTCCCTCAGCTCTTCAGCTCAAGGCTAGCGCTCTACCACTTGAGCCACAGCGCCACTTCCGGCTTTTTTCTTTTTGCTTATGTGGTGCTGAGGAATGGAACCCAGGGCCTCATGCATGCAAGGCAAGCGCTCTACCACTGAGCCACCTTCCCAGCCCGATAAATGCTATTTTGTATAATCAGAGGCACATAGTCCTTGTGCCTTCCTGTTCCTCTCCTAGGAGTATTTTCCTTTGGTCTCATGGGAGTGAATGCCTAGAGACCTGTGTCATTGCTTGTGTCCTAGTAATTTAGATATAGTTTCCACATATGAGAGAAAATAGGCACTGTTAGTCTGTCTGAGCTTGCATACCTCACTCAACATGATTTGCTCTAGGTCCATCCATGTCCCTGCTAAGGACGTTATTTTGTTCTTTCTAATGGCTGTGTAAAATTCCATTTCCATAGTACCACATTTTTGGACCCACTTGTATGTTGTAGGGCATCTGGGCTGTCTCCACATCTTGGCTGCTGTGAATATTGCAGCAATGAACATGGATGTGCAGGTGTCTTTACGGTGTCCTGGCTTGTGAGGTTCTGGGTAGATGCCCAGGAGCGGTATCGCTGGATCCTAGGGAAGGTCTATGTTTAGAGGTTGAGGAACCTCCAGACTGCTGTCCAGAGTGGTTGTACTAGTTTACATTCCCACCAGCAGTGCAGAACTGCTACTTCACACACACACACACACACACACACACACACACACACACACACTACCTCCACCAGCATTTGTTGTTCAAATTCACAGTGTTGGCCAATCAAACTGGGGTGAGGTGGAATCTCAGAGTTGGTTTGATTTGAATTTTCTTTATGGCCAGGGACGATGAGCATTTCCTCAGATGTTTCTTTGCCATTCTTAACATTCTGAGAAGTCTCTCCTTAGCTTCCTTTGCCCATTTATTGACTGGTCTCGTAGCTTTGGGAGAGGTCAGTTCCTTGAGGTCCTTGTATATTTGATATTAGGCCTTTGTCTGATATACTGCCAGTCATGGTCTTCTTCCAGTTAGTTGGCCGTCTTTCTAGCTCTGTGATCATACTTTTGCCATGCATAAACTATTTAGTTTGGTGAACTCCATTTATCAAGTCTCTCTCCTGGGCTGGGAAGGTGGCTCAGTGGTAGAGTACTTGCCTTGCATTTATGAGGACCTGGGTTCGATTCCCCAGCACCACAGAAGCAGAAAAAATAAGCCGGCATTGTGGCTCAAGTGGTAGAGTGCCACCCTTGAGCAAAAAGAAGCTCAGGGACAGTGTCCAGGTCCTCCTTCAAGCTCAAGACTGGCAAAAAAAAAAACGTGTCTCTCCTATCTGCTATACCCCTGGGACTCTTTTCAGAGAGTGTCTGCCTCTTCTGGTTAGGCTGCTCCAGGTGGAGATCTACATGGGGACCAGAGAAGGCTGGTGCTTGATCTGCAACAAGCTCCTATGCCATGCTTTCCAACGCAGAGGTCTATGCCCAATGGTCAAGAAATCTGTGCGTGTCTTCTAGATTTTCTGATTTGTTGAAATACAGGCTTTCAAATTTTCCCCTAAAGATCCTTTTGATTTTAATGAGATCTGCTACACTGATATCTACAGTGCTGAAGAGAGCTTCACTCTGGTAAAAACTGGTTGAAGTCACAGAAGGTTCTGGAATTCACATCCTCCATGGGAAGTGGAGCCACTGCAGCATCTGCCAAGGATTGTATCTCCACAGGGCTACCACACCAGAGGACCAGACACTTCAAAGCTCCAGAGCCTAAGAGCTGCTAGCAAAAAAACCTGTGTTCAGTCCCATATAGTAAGGAGAATTAATCCCACCAACATTCCCCACAAAACAGATCCTTTGTAGCCATGGAGCAAGAGAGAAGGAAGGGAGGGAGAGAGAGGGACAAGAAGGAAGAGAAAGAGATGGTGGGAAAAGGGCAGAAGGGACGGGAAGAGAAAGAAAAAGAGAGAAGGGGAGGGGGAAGAAGGAAAGGGGAAGGCAAAATTTCACATCCCTAAAGGCATGCTTCTGACTCAACAAAAGAAAGGAAAAACAAGTGACATTGATTGAGAATTTGTGCTGGGACACACATAAGTGGCATTCTTTTTTTTTTCAGGTAAGGGGTAGGTTTATTCATCGTTCTGGCTGGCACCAGGCCATCTTGGCCCTCCATGAGGCTGGGAAGGGCCTGGGAAAGACCTGGCAAAGAGCTGGGAAAGAGTGGGAAACAGAGCCTCTGGGTAAGAGAGAGAGCTGGGAAAGAGAGAGAGCTGGGAAAGAAAGAGGGTCTCTGGGCCTGGGCTAGGCCTTATCTAGGGTATGGGCAGAGAAAGGTGTGGCCACATCAAATTCAGATGTGACCTCAGTGGATGCAGATGTGACCCCTTCCAGATGTGCCAGTTGCCTAGGTAACACAGGTACTGGGTGGAGACTTTGCTGCGAGGAGGGTGGAGTCTTCTCGCCATCCAGGAGTGGACCGTACATTCCAGCCTTTTAATAATCATAAAATAAGGCACAGATTCTCTCTGGCTACTTCCTGCTGACAAGGGGTGTCAAGAATTGACCAACAAATATTCTGCAGTGACAAAACTTGTTAGATGTGATGAGAACTTTAGCACAGATATGCCCAGTATTTTAGAACGACGTAGTCAGTAGTAGAATATACAACACAAAACAAAAAAGGCAAAACTCAAAACCTAAAATTTTGACAACAACGTTTAGACATCTTTGCTAACAAAGCACATCAGATGGTTGGGCTTCAGTTACCAGGGCCTGTGAAAAGAGCAACTTGTTAGCAAGGCATCTTAGAATAGCTGGATGGAGTAGTAAACTTGGTGGAAGGGTTAGGGTCAGATTAGGCCAAACCCTCAACCCACCATGTGGCCAAGATGGCGAACTCAGGATGGCGAATTTCTGAAAAAAAAATGCAAAAAAACCCTGAACAAATAGATCAAGCTTACATTGGCTAGCCTTTGAGAGGGAACCTAGACGGGGGTCCCCGGGACCCAGCCTGCGTCGAACTCTTCAGGGCACAAGCCAAAAAGTTGTAGAAAAGAGAAAGGGAGAGATAGGGAACATTGGGCATGAATGGCAGAGAGAGAGCAAAGAGAGCCTGAAAGCAAACAGACTTCTGACCATTTACCATTGCAGTGGCAAAAACGGTCTACATCTGAGAATGGCATAAAATGAGGCGCTCTGGCTTTCCAGAGAGCGCAGGAGGCATTTCAAAGGGGTTTCATGGCTCAGGCGTGATTCGCAGCACCCCATTAAATGAGTAGGAGAGTCAGTCTGGTGAGTGAAGGAGAGCTGACCGGGCAGAAGCAGCATCCTGCCTTCCCCCAGAGCCCTCTAGAGAGAAATGGCCAAGCCCCCCAAACCAAGCGTCCTCGGCTTCAGAGGTGACCGGCCTTTCAGCTAAAGGCCGTAGGAACTCTCTGGCGTGGCACCACAGACTGAGCAACAGAGAGCCATAGAGAGTAGTTTCACTCACCATGGTAGAGAAGTGGTGTGGACGTGGATGTGAAGGCCAGCAATGGTATCGATGCGCTGTGTCCACAGCAGACAGACGGGTTCGCAAAGGCCATCAGAACTGTGGGTATCCCTCAGAGCAAAAGGGGAAAAACAAACAAAAAAAAGAAAAAAAAGAGAAAAAAACGGAGACGAATCCCACCTATCCAGACTTTAAGCCTTCCCTGGTTTCGACACCATTTTTATTAGGTTTTTAAAAAGAGGTAGCCGAGTAAGAACAGCACCACGCATGTGGTATTCAGGTAAGGGGTAGGTTTATTCATCGTTCTGGCTGGCACAAGGCCATCTTGGCCCTAGGAAAGGCCTGGGAAAGAGCTGGGAAAGAGGTGGGCAAGAGAGCATCTGGGTAAGAGAGAGAGCTAGGAAAGAGAGAGAGCTGGGAAAGAAACAGCATAAATGACATTCTTACAATACTGGAAAACAGCATCTATTTTTTTATTTTTATTTATTTTGTGTGTGTGTGTGTGTGTGTGTGTGTGTGTGTGTCTTGAGGCTTGAACTCTGAGCCTGGGCACTGTCCCTCAGCTCTTTAGCTCAAAGCAAGCTCTCTACCACTTGTGCCACAACACACTTCCGGTTTTCTGAATGGTTGATTGAAGATAAGAGTTTCATGGACTTTTCCTGC